CCTGGTTTACTTATACTACAGGCCTAACACTATGTGCCAGTGTTCTAGTACTAGCAACCAAGAAGGACTTTTGTATTCTAGTACACCTGTTTCCCCAGACATACTATTATTCTCAGGAGGCATGGGAGGATCAAAGGAGAGCTTCCCCCTTAATATGAAAACCAAGAGAAGTCATCACTGCTTCCATCCTCATCGCTGCCCTGGTAGGAACAGGTATAGCTGGAGCAGCCGGGGTGGGGACTACTGCCTTAGTTATCCATGATAATAACTTCAAAGCTCTTAGTGCCCAAATTGATGCGGACCTATCAGAAATAGAGAACTCTCTTAAAACACTTAGAAACTTCCCTGGACTCCTTAGCAGGGGTAGTCCTCCAAAACAGAAGAGGCTTAGACTTGTCAGTAATGCAACAAGGAGGTTTATGTGTGACCCTTGGGGAACAATGTTGCTACTACGCCAATCACTCTGGCATAATTAGGGAAAGCCTGGCTTTGGTTCGTAAATGGCTCCAAGAATGAGCTAAGGAGAGAGAGCAGGGCACAAACTGGTATGAGTCCATGTACTCATGGTACCCCTGGCAAACTACCCTGCTAAGTGCGATGGCTGGACCCTTGCTCCTTATAGTCCTAGCCCTGACTTGTAGACCGTGCCTTTTAAATGCTCTCATTAAGTTTGTAAATCAAAGGCTTCAATCTGTTAAGCTCATGGTGTTAAGAAGTCAGTATGATCAATTGGTCCCAATGGAGAAAGAAGCAGAAGATCAGGTACAAGAGGTCAAAGAATTAACCTTACTCCCAAATGGAGTGGGGCATGAACTATCTCAGGGTACTAGCGTACGTTCCCCCATCTTCCTTTAAAACAATTAGAAGGGACTGACCTCGTCCCAATTCCTGCAAATTCCTCAGAAGGGAGTATGCATGTGAATTCTGAGAAATGGCCTAACCTCCAAACCGCAGAATGTTCTAATCTAGTACATCTAGCACCTGGTTAACTGCTTAGCTCCCTTCTGTAAGCTTGCTTTGCTTGCCTGAGCAGTAACAGGCTGTTGACTGGGGAGTTCGATTGCTCGCACAGTTTAACAGGCTGTTGATTGGTGAATTCAAATTCTCCTGTGTTGTACAAACCTGATTGGCTCACATATGTTCTGTTTGAACAATGCTTTCTGTAACCCTAACAAAACCCTGGCCAGCTGGTGTTCAGGGCTGCTTCTATTCCCGAGAAAGCTCATGGTGTTAAGAAGTCAGTATGATCAATTGGTCCCAGTGGAGAGAGAAGCAGAGGATCCAGTATAAAAGGTCAAAGAATTAACCTTACTCCCAAGAGGAGTGAGGAATGATCTATCTCAGGGTACTAACATAAGTTCTCCCCATCTTCCTTTAAGACAATTAGGAGGGGCTGACCTCTGACTGATTCCTGTAAATTCCCCAGAGAGGAGTGTGCTTGTGAGTCCGAGAAATGGCCTAACCGCCAAACCACAGAATGTTCTAATCTAGAGCTAACTGCTTATCTCACTTCTGTACACTTGCTTTGCTTGCCCACGCAGTAACAGGCTGTTGATTGGTGAATTAAAATTCTGCTGTGTTGTACAAACCTGATTGGCTCACAGATGTTCTGTTTGAACAATGCTTTCTGTAATCCTATAGAAACCCTGGCCAGCTAGTGTTTGGGGCTCTTCTACTCCTGAGATAGACAGCCCGGCTGGTCATAATAAAGTTTTACCTTGCTTTTTCCTTTTTTTTTTTTTTTTTTTGGTCTTTTTGAGACAGGGTCTCCCTATAGGCCCAGCTGTCCTGGATTCACTATGTAGACCAAGCGACCTTGAACTCACAGAGATCCGCCTGCCTCTGCCTCCCAACTGCTGGGATTAAAGGCATACACCACCACACCCGGCACCCTGCCATTTTCTAAAAAATAAAATTAAATTAAAAAATTTAAAAAAAAAAAAGAGAGAGCGTTGGAGCATTGGTCCTTGAGCTTTTTACATTCCACACACAATCTTCCACTTTCCAAGAGACTACTGTAAGGATGAACAGAGAGTTCTCCCATGCCAGTAATATACCTACTTTGCAGTACAGTGAAATTAAGGGGGGAGGGGGGTGAAGGCAGGCAGATCTCTGTGAAATCAAGGCCAGCCTGGTCTACACAGTGAGTTTCAGGCCAGCTGGGGCTGGAGGGAGGCCCTGTCTCAAAAAGACCAAGAAAAAAAGCCTGGAACGATGGCTCAGTGGTTAAGAGCACTGGCTGCTCTTGCGGAGAACCCAGGTTCAATTCCCAGCACCCACATGGCAGCTAACAATCATCCCAACGCCAGTTCCAGGAGATCTGACATCTTCTTCTGACCTCCCAGGCATTGAACGACACTGACATCTGCACACTTACACACATACAGGCAATACACTCATACACATAAAATAAAAATAATAAATTTTTTTTTAAAAAAGACCAGCCAGTGTGGTGGCTCATGCCTTTAATCTCAGCCCTCGGGAGGCAGAGGCAGGCAATCCCTGTGAGTTCAAGGCCAACATGGTCTACATAGTGAGTTCCAGGCCAGTAGAGGCTACAGGAAGACCCTGTCTCAAAAAGACTAAATAAAATAAATTTTTTAAAAAGACCAAGAAAAAAAGAAGCTGAATCTATATCATATAACCATTTCATTAAGAACTTTCAGAAGATAAAATCAGAATGGAAGTTAAATTATGAAATATGATAAAAAAAATCACAATACAGCAAGGAAGTAATATGGGAAGAAATGATTAAATTATAACATGTCCAGAAAGGGATTCAATAGCTAATCTAAAGACCCGATTTCCACAACAAATAGTCATTCACAGACTTTACTAAGGGAGGCAGGAATAGGTATAGATAAATAGGTATAGATACAAGGTTCTGATGGAGGGGGTGCTACATGTCTGTATGCATAAAATCAGTAAGGGCTAGGAATGTAGCAAGTTCAAGGCTCCAGGGTCTGATCCCCAGCCCTGCAAAAAAAAAGAATATTAAAAAGTTCAGTGAGATGATGAACATGCCTTCAGAGAAATTGAAGGGTGTTGTGAAAAGGGTATAGAATCAGAGAATTAGAGGATACTGGACAGCCCAAATGAATGATAAAACCTTACAGGACAGCTCTGATAGTAAGATACGAAAACAACAGGCTGACTCAAGCACTGCAAAATGATATGAAAATGACATATAGAAATGAGGGAAAGGGAGCAATTTAATACAAAGGAGGTGGTGAGTAAAAACTCATGATAAAGAAAAAAAAAAATATTGGGAGAGCTGGAGAAATGGCTCAGCAGTTAAGTGCTCCTGCTGCTGAGTTCAGTTCCCAGCACTCACATCAGGCAACTCAAAGCCACTTCTAACTCCAGTTCCAGGAAATCCAATGTCCTCTGACCTTCCTGGCCACCAGCATGCACACATACATAAAAAATATCACAATCAAAAGAGCAGAGAGAAGTGCAATAGGAGAACAAAAGGAATCTAAAGATTACCACATTTACTACAAATATAACTAAAGTCAAGAAATATTTTGATATGTAATTTAGAATAAAAAACTAAGGACAGAATGGTTTTTTTTTTTTTGGTCTTTTTGAGACAGGGTCTCCCTGTAGCCCCAGCTGTCCTGGAATTCACTATGTAGACCAGGCTGGCCTTGAACTCACAGAGATCCACCTGCCTCTGCCTCCCAAGTGCTGGGATTAAAGGCGTGCACCACCATGCCTGGCTAGGACAGAGTTTTTAGAATGCATTTTTAATTTGATTTTTTGTTTATAGAAATACTGTTTTCCTGTGCCTTCCAAAGTAAGCCTTCCCTAGTCTCCCTATAGTTGAAAGCATTCTGCCTTCTTGTTGAAGGCAGAAAAGGCCGAGGGCAAAAAGGTATGGACATCAGAAGTCAACATGAGAAAGCAGAGACAAATTTTTGGTGAGAAGGAGGATGTTTACTCTAGCCTCTAACAAGTCTACAAATGCTTACTACAGATGCATGGAGGTTATGACAGCAGATAGCCCTTCACTTTTAATTTTTATGAAAATGGTCAAAATGAGCTTTAAAAGTCTTAACAATTTTCTACTCACATGCAAACTTTAGAATTCAAGGAGTCAGCATCTAGTTAATCCTATCTCTTAAAAACAATTCTGTGTATAGCACAATGCAGTAACTGACTTCCTCTATTTTCTCAGGTGCCCAAGAAAAGATTTAAGCTAGACCAGTAAGTTGAATTTTAGGGACTGGATTCAGTTTCCAGAACATCTCATCAGTCAGCAATATTACAGAGGGATAGCAGTGCTACATTTTAGCAACAGATCTCACAAATTTAAAAAAACGTTTAATTTTTAAAGTGAAATACTTTGCTATAATTATTTTCTGAAGATTAAGTAATTCTAGTAACTCATTATCCATCTTACCGAGTCAGGGATCTGGAAACCATGTCAGAGTCTCCTTTTCTCTAATCTCCAATTAATCATTTACTATAGTTAGATAGCTCTTAAAAATGTTCCCCTACCATCATTATCCCTTGTCTAAGTATTAAACCATTAACTAAACTGCTTGTGTCTCAAATTATAATGATTGGATTTAGGGCTGACTCCAGGTATTTAGCATCTGGTAGTGAACACTGCTTTTCAAGTCTGCAAAGAGGCCATGTCAATGGAAAACCAAAGATGCTTCTAATAGGGCCTTTGCTTCTTCACCTTATCATCCAAGTACCTGATCTACAAAGAGTACCTGCAGTTATTTAAAAATGCTAACTTCTGTCCCTTTTCCTGCAGAAATCCATGGATAAGAAACAATCTTAAGTACTTGAAAGCACAAAAGCAGCAAAGTCTTTAACCTAATAATCTATCCATAAAATCCTGATTTCAAATAAAACAATGTGGAAAAAAATCCATCTACATAGGCATGGTGAGTTTTTGATACATGTTTTACTTAGGTAAAAATCACTAAGTTAGCATTTTGCTATAATTTAAAATGACAATAAAATGTTAAATGCCAGGTAATTACCTGAGGAGAGTCAAAAGGGTATCGACTACTAAATTTAAACAGAAGTTGAAATTTTTCTCCTTCATATAAGGTACCTGGTGCACCTTCCATGTCTACGATCCACCTAGGATAGAAAAAGAGAAACAAATTTAAAACAAGACAAAAAGTGAGGAGGAGAGGTGACTACTGAGGTACCAGGTACCTTCATGATGTATAATGGTGCACTTCATCCCAGAAACTCTCTTTTTCCTTTTTAAGAGAATTTTTAAATGTATTACTATTGTGTATGATTATGTGTTTTGGGGGGGATAGTGTACCACAGGGTACAGGTACAGGCCAGAGAACAACTTTGTAGAGTTGGTTCTCTCCTCCCACCTTTACATAGGGTTTAGGGATTGAACTCAGGTCATCAGGCTTGTGCTTCTCCTACTAAGTCATCCGTGCTGGTCTTCAGAGCAGGGTTTTTTGATTTAAGATTTAATAGTTTTTATTTATGTATATATGTGTGTGTGTCTACCACACGTAAGTGCCCAGAAGAGTATCAGAGCCTCTGGAATTGGAGTTACAAGTAATTGTGAGTCATCTGACTTGGGTGCTGGGAACTGAACTTGGTTCCTCTGGAAGAACAGTATGCACTCAATCACTGAGCTTTCTCTTCAATCCCAGAGGTTTCTTTTTGCTTTAAGATTTTATTTTATGTATATGAGTGTTTTGCCTGTATGCACACAAGTGAACCACATGTGTGGCTAGTGCCCATGGAAGCCAGGAAAGACTGCCAGATTCCCTGGAACTGGAGTTAAGGACAGGTGTTGGCTACCATGTGGGTGCTCAGAACTGAACCCAGATCCTTTGCAAGTACACTCACTGCAGGTTTTTGATAACCTCTTCCCTACCCAATTTCCTACTCTGACACTCAGTAATTTAAAACTTAGGTCAAGGTCTGAGCCAGCCTTATACTCCAGGTATGAAACAAACAATAAACAAAAACTTAAACTCGGGTATGCTAACACCAAATCCCCTGTACCTGTCCTTTTAGATTATGTCATCTTATTTTCTTTCAAAAGACTATAACTAAAAGACTTTATAGACAATATTTTAAACTAATCAACTGCCTTTCTGAAATCTGTGTTAGAAGCAGTAAGGGAAATGGGTATCAACAAAGACTACAGAGAATTATAGCCAATATATTTACCTTCTAATCTGTATGTTAAAGAAGACTAAACAGAAGATAAACTGACTCCTACTTATTTACTCTGATAGCTACAAGCAAGGCTCTGCTCAGCCTTCCCTTTCTAACACTCTGTTTCAATTGTTTAAATAAAGCATAATTAGATTTCAATTTCTAATTGTTTAATAAAGCATAATAGATTTTCTAAAATAAGCATCTATATAAGCTTATTTTGTTTTCCTATGTAATAATTCTGAATATGTAAGTATGCTTTTATTTATATTCTGTAACCACTTCTACTGGCTATCTTTATAAGAGGGGACATAAGATTAAAACAGCAAAGATGAGAGAGCAGCATTTAGAAGTAAAAGGAACAGAAGTCATTAAAAATGAGTCAATTCACATCTTTTATCTCAGCTCTCAGGAGGCAGATCTCTGAGTTTGAAGCCAGCCTGGTCTACAGTTACAGGGCTAGATACTGAGATCCTGTCAAAAAATAAGGAGTCTTGAGGGCTGGAGAGATGGCTCTGTAATTAAGAGCACTGGGACTCTTGCAGAGGATCCAGGTTCTATTCCCAGTACCCACACAGGAGCTAACAACCATTCATAACTCCAGTTCCAGGGACTCTGACATCCTCTTCTGACCTCTGCAGGCAATGCATGAACATGGGTATGTGTACATATATGCAGGCAATATGCTCATCTACATAAAAATAATAAATAAAAAATTTTAAAAGGAGTCCTGAATTATAGCTGTCACATATAATTGTTGTAGTTGGTCAATTCCTTTAATCTCGTATTTTCAGGTCTAAAAACTTTCTTATTTTAAGCCAGGTGTGGTGGTGCACGCCTTTAATCCCAGCACTGTGTACACAGAGGTCTGGCTAGTCCTGGCAGTGTACTGTGTAGACAGGGGTCCGGCTAGTCCTGGCAGTGTACTGTGTAGACAGGGGTCCGGCTAGTCCTGGCAGGGAGGCAGAGGCAGGTGGATCCCTGTGAGTTCAAGGCCAGCCTGGTCTCCATTAGTGAATCCAGGCCAGCTGCAGCTACAGGGAGACCTTGTCTCAAAAAGGCCAAACACAAAAAACAAAACAAAAAAAACTTTATTTTAAATTCAGGAAAACCAGTGTTGCCTTAACATGACCAAAGCTCTAGATTTGATGTGCAATTCTGCTAGTCAATCTGTCAATTCGTCTCTCCATCCCTCCATCCACCCATTCAGAAAAACCAAAGAAAGAGAAAATACTGTGTTAAGATTCTAGTCACAGAGCCAGGCGTGGTGGTGCATGCCTTTAATCCCAGCACTCGGAAGGCAGAGGCAGGGGGATCTCTGTGAGTTCAAGGCCAACCTGGTCTACACAGTGAGTTCCAGGACAGCTGGGGCTACAGGGAGACCCTGTCTCAAAAAGACCAAAAAAAAAAAAAAAAAGATTCTAGTCATAAATCATGTAGTATGGAATTAGGAGTATGTAAATAGTAAGATGGGCTTAATTTGTGAAAGGAACCAGAAGCAGGAAACTTTAAAAGCATGATTATTCATTTTCAGAATGTATGCTGAGGACCTTAGTTGTAAGAGATACTATTGGGAGAGGTAAATGATACTACATATATAAAAAAACGTAGCACATTCCTAACAGCAGAGCCAGTACACAGTAAACTAAATGCAACAGAAAGCTATGTAGGAAGCAAAAACCTTGTGGGGTATATAGCTCAGTTGGAGAGCTTGCCTAGCATGTTGAAGCTTAGGTTCAATACCCAGCTTGCCAAACATACACACACACACACACACACACACACACACACACACACATACACACACACACACAGTGTACTTAGACACTCACAGACATACTGTTATAAAAACTAGGTCCTTCTTAGCTTAAATTCTTTTTTCTCCCACCACCCACCTCCCACATTCACTACCAAGTGATACTCCAAGGAAACGGAATTTTCTGGTGCCCCTTCCATTTCTTTATTTAGCAAATTTTAGGATTCACAACATACCCTCAATTTACCTTTGGCACACACAGCAAAGCTTTTAAATAACACCTAAGCAAACATTTTGTTCAATTAATATTTACACGAAGTAGGTCAAAGACATAATTTCTAATACTGTATGTGATATTTTTTAACTTTTTAAAATATTTATTTAATTTTTTAAATTTTATATGTATGAGTGTATTGCCTGCATGTATGTGAGTGCACCCGTGTCGTGCAATGCCTCGGAGGTCAGAAGAGGGCTTCGGATTCCCCTGGAACTGGAGTTATAAGGACAGTGTAGCTGCCATGCAGGTGCTGGGAATCAAGCCTGGGTCCTCTGTAAGAGCAGTCAGTGCTCTTAACCGCTGAGCCATCTCTCCAGCCCCGATAACTTTTAACTTTTACTAACTAAAGAAGTGACATATACTTATGGAATTTAGAAAAATATAAATAAAAAGCATTCAATAAAAACCAGTTAGGTTTTTTGAGGTGAATTTCATTCTAATCATTCTGTGGTTTTCTAATCATTGATGATGACAAGAATTGGAAATACAATACTTTGACTGTGTGCATATTTAAATTACACAACTAAAAATTTTTTTTAAATTTATTTTTATTTTATGTGCAGGAGCATTATGACTGCATGGATATAAATGCACCCATGTTATGCAGTGCAGGGAACAGAAGAGAGCATTGGATCCCCTGTAGCTTGAGTTACAGACAGTTGTTAGCCACCTGTGGATGCTGGGATTCAAACTCTAGTCTTCTGCAAGAACACCCAGTACTCTTAAACACTTAGCCATCTCTCCAGCCCCAATTCTTTTCAATTTTATTAGTATGTGTGTGTGGGTGTAAGTGTCATGGTATGTGCTGAGTCAGTTTTCACCTTCCACCTTTACATGGGTTCTGGGGATCAAACTCAAGTCATCACACTTGTGCAGCAAGCACCTTTACTCACTGAGCCATCTTGCCAGCCCTGATTAAACATTTAACCACCAGTGCTTACAATTCTAATCAGGAGCATATGCTTAAGAGTAAGGATATAATGAACATGCCTTTCAACGAGTCTCAGTTCTTAAATTCCTGTAATTACTCTGTAAAATTAATGGCTTGGATTTGGGGCCCCCTCCTCCCATATATTCTGACTCCTAATCAAAAAAATAGGTATCTGTTCAATTCCAGAGGAAAAACTGGATTTTGAAGACTAAGACAAAATTACATACCAGCATGCTCTGTCTTTCTTAGGGCTTGACTTGTTCCTTAGGTGGGGGGTCTCACTATGTTGTCCAGGGTAGTCTTGAACTCTTAGCTGATTCTCCTACCTCCGCCTATGAGTAGCTGAGACTACAGGTAATTATGTATTATAATTACACAAAATTTCTGCCTTACACACTGATTACAGCTGTAAAGTAACAGCATTTTACTGTTTCTTTGACCTCTTTTATTGACATTTACACTGTTTTCAGATTACTCTGAGAATGAGATGCTGAAAAAGAGTACAGTTAGTTCTAGGTCACTCATGCGTATCTTTGTTCCTTCTTTAGGAAAGCATGAGGTGTTTTAATAGGTAACAAGGATGGTATTCACAGTTCTTAAAGGAGTTTTTTTAAGTGCGGTATAAACTGAACCAAGAGCACTATATATGCTCAGTGCACCTTCAAAGAGCAAGATGCAGTGACACACACCTTAACAGCACCCCAGAGACTGGGGCTAGCCTGGGTTACATAGTGAGACTCAATCTCAAAAAAACAAAACAAAACAAAACAAAACTTAAACAGGATCATGAAAAGGATTAGGTTAAAAAAAGAAAGCTTGGCTTCCCTGGGTGGCTCAGCCACCAGCTTCCTAGTTCTAGCATCTTTCCTGGGTGGGTCCCTGGGCACCCACTGCACCTTGACTCCCCCAGACTCATTCACCCTCCCAGCTTCCCCGCCCCGTCTCTCCTCCTAGCCTGTGTACTGGCCCATTTCTTGTCT